GGCCCCAGCCTGGCCAGGCTCCCCTCACCCGCCCTGCACTCGGCTCCTGCTGGCGCCCGGCCTGCCTCTCTTGCTTGCCTTCGTGCCACCCCACCCTCTGGCTCAAACATCACCTCATGCCCAGCCCAGCTTTCCTCCAATTCCATGGGTCCTGGCCCTGGTTGTCCCCAGGGTAGGCCGGGCTGTCAGAGACCGAGATTTCAATGCTGAGACCGCACTTCCGGGCTGGGTAGCCTTGGGCAAGTCCCTTTACTTGGCTAAGCCTCAGTTTCCTGTTACTGAGGTGAAGTGGGCACTCCTGCCAGGGCACGGGGTGGGAGCACCGTCACTGCCCAGCATGCGCCCAGAACCAGGAGAGCTGCAGGACGTGATGGCTTCACAGAGCCACAGGGCCTCCCCAGAGTCCGCTCTCCCCATCTGTGGGGAGGAGGAGGTTGTGAGCGCTCCTGCCCCGCCATCCCCTGTGCAGCACGCCGCCACTAGGACCTCAGGCAGCTCTGGCTGGCATCAGGGAAGCCGCTCGAGCTCCTGGGCTCGCCCCTCGGCCGGCCCGGGGTCCTGGCATTCACAAGGCCCAGGTGTGGGCAGGTAAAGGCCCAGACCCGGGGGATCCGGCTGCGCAAGACAGCAGGGCGAGGCTGCCCAACGGGGGCATCGGCCTGGTGCCCACAGACTGGGTGCCCCGTGCTGGCCCCTGGCCGGGGAGCCCATCCTGGGGGCATGGAGGCCACACCCTGCTCTGGCCTCAGCGCACCGCCCCTGCCCCACGCAGCTCCTCCCCGTCACTGGGGTTTGGAGGAATTAAGGAAATTGCTATGGGCATTAGCAGCTCGGCCAGCACCATGCAAGACTGGCAGCAGGAAGGCAGGGAGGAATGGGCCCGGCACATGGGGGTTTTCCAGGGCCCAGTGGGTGACTGGCAGAGTGATGTGGATTGAATAAGGCAGTGAGTCACTGTGTGAACGAGCGAGTCCCGAGTGAATTAATGAGTGTAAGCACCTCGTATCGGTAAACACAGGAAGTTCTCACCGCACACCCGACACTGTTCCACGCACTTTACTCGTGTGAGCTCAGTCCTCACAAAGCCCCTGTGAAGTAGTCTTTACTGCCACCTCCATCTCAGGGCCCAGAGAGGCGAAGTCACTCATCCAAAGTCACACAGCTGGGAGGTGACTGAGCGGGGACTGGAACCCAAGCAGGCGAGCTCCAGAGACTCCACCACGAAGTGGGATCAAAACTTCAGGACCAGGAGGAGGGGACACAGCCAATGCAGGGGCATGGATCTCTCTCCTGCTACCTGTGCCAGGAGACTTCAGACTTCCCATGTCGCTCACTCACCCCTCCCGGGCGCCTGCCCACTCAGCCTCTCTGAGCACTGGCTCTGGGGAGGGGTGGGACGAATAAGCATCTTTCCCGCCCTTCAGGGCTCTGTTCAGGTGACCCTGGCTCCAGGAAGTCTTCTCTGATCACCTCTGCAGAGCCACTCCTGGCTCCCTCTCTCTCTTCCTCTCCTGACCCCAGCGGAGCCCGGCAGGCACCCACACACCCCACGACAGCCTCCCTGTCACCCCAGCGGACCGGTTCTCACCAGGGACCACAGGCAGCAGGGCAGGGATTCAGCCCTGTGCCTAGAAGGAGGGGAGGGCCGTCCCTGCTCGGCGGGCAACCGGCTGCAGCCTCTTCCTTCCCTGGCTCAATGTTTGTTTTCAAATTCCCGAGGCCTGAGTCACACCAGGCTTGTCCTCTGGCCTGGCCCGCTTCACTTCCTTCCTCTTCTTGACCAGGCTGGCCCGCAGGGTGGGGCACCGGCCGGCCTGTCCCTCCTACTGCCCACTGGCTCGGGCCAGGGTCTTGAGCTGGCAGAGTACACGGGACTGGGGTGCTCGGGAGAGACTGCGGGAAGCGGAGCTAGGAGCTAGGTTCTCCCAGGTGGGGGGGGCTGGGGCGGGGATGCCTGGGACCCCTCCCCACTCAGGCCCAGACTTGGGGGCGACCTCTGCAGGCTGTGAGCGCAGAGCAGGTGGGGCGGGGCCGAGGGTTAAACCTGACCTTGTCCTAATCCCGGGCCTGGAGATCTGCCCTTGTACCCGAGGCAGTGCCTGGAAGCTGGAAAGCACAGGGCCGGGCCAGGTGAGCGGGGTTCCAAGGCCGGCTCCGACCTCCCAGAGCCCCACTGTGCGATCAGTAGGCGCTGCCACCCGTGGCTGTGTCATTTAAATGCATTAAAATAAAATGAAAGTCGGTTCTGCATTTGCATCAGCTACGGAACCCAAGTGCTTCATGGTCACTGGTAGCTGGCGGCCGCCCCGTTGTGCTGAGCAGAGACAGAACGCGTCCGTCTGTCCATCCGACATCACACCCCAGAGAGTTCCAGAAAGTTCTCGTGGTCACTGCTGTTTTAGGTCGGCTCCACAAAGGCGCTTAGTACAGTTCGAGAAACAAAACTGGGGTTCGATAAATATTTCTCACTCTGATTTTCTTATTGTGGTAAACACACACATTGCATCACATTTACCAATGTACCAATTTATTCTTTTTTGGTTTTGTTTTTGGTTGTTGCGGCTGCTGTTTTTTCCTAACCCAGGCTGGTCTTGAACTTGCCATCTTCCCGCTTCAGCCTCCCGAGTGCTGTGTAGCTCAGTGGCTCTTGGCACATTCACACTGCGGCAGCCATCGCCACTAACCATCTGCAGAAAGCTTTCATCTTCCCGCACTGAAATTCTGCCCGGTCAACCAAACTTGTTTAAACAAATGAATAAACGCCATGGAGTCACTGCCCCTCTCAGCTTCAGCTCCCTCCCCTGCAGAATGCGTATTTTACAAGTTCACACCTGAAGCGCTTGCCCCGGGGTGAGGAGATAAAGTCCCAGCAGGAAGTGGCCCCTGCCAGGATCCCACAACTGCCTGTTCTCTGAGCCCTGCCCCTGCGGTGGCCACAGTGCAGCCTCCAGGTGGACAGAAGGAGGCCCCAGTGGGATATGTTCTGTTCCCAGAGTGTGAACTGTTCCCGTCCTCCGGACCCAGCCAGGCCAGTCACCCTGCCGGCCAGAGGTCTCTGCTGGGGCCCTGTGATGCCCCCAGATGGCCGAGGCCAGCAGGCACCTTCCAGGGAGGTCACAGCACACATGGGAAGCCCAGGGCAGAGCCAGGACTCACAGTGAGTCTCCATCCCGCCGCCCACCTGGGAATCAATGGGGGATGAAGAATGAATAGGTGAACTCGGTCAGGCAGATGCGACAGCCCCAGCCCGCCGATGAGGAAACGGCCAGGGATGTTACTTGAGGTGCCTGGTAAATATTTATGGGATTGAGGATGGTGTCCGAGGGCAGGGTGTGCTGGCCTGTGGACCTTTAATCCCTGCCCCAGAGGGACAATCGGGCAGTTTCTTGCCCTGGACAGGAAGCGGTCGTAGTTGAGTAGAAAGACGCTGAGTCTTGGCATCACCATGGGGGCGAGGAACTCAGGCAGGCTGAGCTCTGTCACCGGGATGCGGCTAAGATCCCACAGTCCCGGGGCAGGCGAGGGAGCGATCTGCAGCCCCGCAAACGCAGCCCCAGCCTGTGTGAGCTGGTGAATGTATAACAACGCGCTGTCTGAAAAGCAAAGGGAGGAGGAGAGGGAGGGAGGGAGGCCCTGCTTTGCGGAAAGACAGCTGTACTAGTGACACCTGGCCTGCTGAGGGCTGCGTGAGCTCAGGCCCACAAGGGCCCGTCTGTAAAGTGGGTGCCAGACTGCAGGGCAGCTGTGAGGAGGGAAGCTGTGGTCTCCGCACTCCATGCAGGAATGAGGGCCCCCTGGGGGACGCAGGAAGACCCAGCTGCGACTTCCGGGCCGGCGGAGGGGGTCCCAGAGAGTCGAGTGCGGCACGGGGTACGGGGTTGGCACCGCGCCCCGCTGCCCACCCGGCCCCTGGGCAGCCTGTCTTCCCTTGCTGACCTCACCCTTCCCTCTTCCCATTTTGGAAGACAAGTGGGGTGAGGCGGAGGCGGGCCGAGAGCATCCAGGTAGATGACGCGTTTGCCCACACCTGGCAAGACGGGCTTACCTGTGCCCAGCGTCTCCCCAGCCCCTAATCCCTGGCATTTACTTGACTTAACTCCTGGCACCTGGGAGGGGAGGACTTCGCCTCTACACCAGGAGGCCCCTCCTTCCCCGGCACTGCCCAGCCCTCCTGGGAGGCCAGCCACGGCGCTCTTTCCTGATTCTAGGCTGTGGCGATGCCGGCCCGTGCACACTGGGGCCCCAGGGACCCGGTGCCCGACAAGTGGGGGACGAGAGGCCAGCTGAGGGGCCCTTCTCACTCTGGGAGGGTGCTCTGGGGTTCCTGTCCATGGATGGGCAGGAAGGCTCTCATTGGCAAAGGCGAGCCCTTGGTGACAAACGTAGGGAAACTAAGGGCAAAGATCACACTCACCGTCACACGGAGACCGGTCTCTGATCGGCCAGGCCCTCTTCTGCTGGAAACGGGAGGGCCAGCCGCAGCCGACGTCTCCCTCGGGGTCCCGGGCCTGGTGACACCTCAGGGGAGGGGCGTCAGTTTCTCAGGAAGCGGACTTCCCGGCAGGAAGACCCAGGGACCTGTGAGGTACACAGGAAGACGTGTGGTCCGTTCATACAGCTTTGCCCCAGCTCTCCACGTCCCCTTGGGTGGGCCATGGTCCCCCTTGGTCCCGTGTCTGCTTACAGAAAGGATGATTTGGACCAGACTATGTTGCCCTTTTTTGCGGTGCAGGGTGGGAATCCAGGGCCTCACGCACGCTATGCAAGAATTCTACCAACAAGCCACGCCTCCTCGCTGGACCAGTGTTTCAAAAGCCGGTTTTAACCTGCACAGCTATTTTCTGGATGCTTAATCTAGAAAATGGAAGGAGAGGGGCCGGGATTTAGTTCAGTGTCACCATGCATGCCTCGCAAGCACAAAGTCCTGAGTTTGATTCCCGGTACAAAAAAGAAAGAACGAAAGAAAATGGACAGAGGGGCCGTTCAGAGAAGCTGGAAGCCTGCACTGTGTCGGGCCAAGGCTCCGACTGGCAGGACCAGGGCAACACCCTGGACAAGGAGCCTGGGCCTCTCCTGACTCCTGAAGGCTGCGAGGAAGAGATGGGGCGAGAGACAGAGAAATAAAGAGGTAGAAAGAAGCAGAGAGCAAGACAGAGAGAGAGAGAGAGAGAGAGGGAGACTGCGCCAGAGAGACAAGGTGGGAGCGACTTCCAGAGCAGATGCGGGAGTACGGGAGGAGAGGGAGAGAGGAGAGGGTGCGGAGGAAGAAGAAACACATGATTCCACTCAAACTTCTTTTTGTTTAAAGTAAAACCGACCCAACAATCTCACTGCTGACGCTTGGCCGGAGCCCAGGCCCCAGGCGAGTGTGACCGCGGGGCTGCCTGGCCCTCGGCCTGGAAACTCAAGTCATCGCTGCCCAGGCCGGCTCTCAGCACCTCTGGTCCGGAATGAAGGGGCTTCGGGTCACGGGACAGAGCCCCAGGCAGGCAGGCCGCCCCTGGCCACGCAGGGCTGGGAGAAGAGAGGGCCTGGACCGAGGCCCGGCGGGGTCAGGGGCGGTGCTGAAGGAGGCCCCGTCTCCCGCTGTCCTCTAGGGGCACCCTCAGGGCACCCGGCTGGCAGTGGGGAGTGGGCAGGTGGAGGTCAGGTGTGTCCCCAGCACACCTGTCCACCACACACACACACACACACACACACACACACATTTTGCACTCAGATCCAGCATTCGTCCCGGCCTAAGCCCCGATCCCAGGCAGGGCTGAAGCCAGTTAGCAGCCACTGCCACCTGTTGGGCACACACTGGGCCCCGGCACTGCCCCCCATTCCCCCTCAGACCCTAACCAGGCGGGGGGCACACACTGGCCCCAAGAGACTACGACAGAGACCGGAAGAGCTCAGACCCCCAGCACCTTCCCATGCTAGGACGTGGGGTCTGAACCCGGGTTAGCTCACCCCTGTCACCCCAAGCCTGGGGGAAAGGGGTGCAATCCCCAGCTCCGCTCATCCCTGGGCCAGGGCCTGTCCCATCCGGAGCAGAGAGGCGCAGGTCAGAGAACAGCTAAGCCCCAGGCTTTGTTCCTGGTACAAAGGCACCCGGATCCAGGTTTAGCAGTGAATGGTGCCCATCCCTCCCCGCAGCCCCCTCCGGGCAGGCCCAGCCCCTCGGGCCTCCCAGCTCCTGAGCACTTTTACTGCCCGCAGTGGAGTCACAGGCAGGCAGCCTGGGGACTGAAGGAGGCCCTGAGGGGCTGGGGACGTAGGTGTGGAACTGGGACACCACCCAGACTCGGTTTTCCAGCCCCTACGGTGTGCCAGCTGTGCCACGCTCTTGTGTGTGGTGCAGATGAAACAGCTTGAGTGCCCCGATTCGAAGCCCAAAACCTGAAATCTTTTGAGCACCAACATGGTGCTCAATAAATTCGAATTTGGAGGCATTTTGGATTTTCAGATTCGCTAGAGATTCTCAGCGGGTGGAGTATATGCAAACACTCCAAACGCCCGAAACTCCAAAGCCTCCCAACCGGTAAACTCTCAAGCATTTCAGACATATTCAATCTGCACAGGAAAGGGAAGACCAGAGAGGGTAGGGAAACTGCCCAAATCCACACAGCAGAGACAGAATCTGGGGTGCAGCTTCGGGCTCCAGCCCAGCTCTGAGGCGAGGCCTCTCCTTGTGAAAGAACTTCCTTGTTGTTCAGACAGCCCTGCCCTGTGGAGAAGGGGCGAGGATAAAGGCAGACGGAGGATGAGCCATCTCGGGCAGGCACAGGAGCAGGAAAGGTGGACGGGGGGTGCGGGCGGGCGGGGAGGCTCCTACCCTAGGCCAGCACCCGTCCCGCGGAGAGAGCCAGGATGGAGCTCCCGGAAGAGGGGAAGCAAGCCCAGGCCTCCCAGCAGTGAGAAGTAGGGTCAGACTGCCCAGGATGCTGGGTAGTTGTCGCAGACAGTGGGGAGCATCATGGCCCATGAGGCTGGGGTCAGGCCCTGCTGTGTGACCTCAGGGAGGTACAAATCCCTCTCTGGGCCTCAAACTACCGCCAGGCCTCAGAGCTTGAACCATCTGGCCCGCTCCTGGGAATGTGGGCTCCCGAGCTGAGAGCTCCTTTCTCTGGCCCCCCGTCAGTAGAGACAGGTATGGCTAACTAAAGCTGTGGGCCTGCCCAGTCCTCCCGGTGGTCTGCCATTTCCTTCCTGCTTTACAGGGAGGAGACTGAGGCTCGAAGGCCTTTTCCAAGGTCACTGCAGGCCAAGATCTCAGAGCCTCGCCTCCTTCCTCTGGCCCCGTCCCCCAGGATGCCAGGCTCTGGGGGACCCAGGAGGCTGGTTCTGGGCCAGGGCAGCTGAGGAGCCCCAGGCCTGGGTGTGAAGTCCCCTTCCCGCCAGTGCCAAGGTGGCAAGGAACCAAGGTGCCTACCGGGCCCTCTGGTCACCGCCAGTGCCACAGCACCCTCAGGAAGGCTGGGGCACCCCGCGGCAGAGGTGTGGCTGCCTGCGGCTCTGTTTGTCCCCGTTGCCAAGCAAGGCCCAGAGCTGGGCACTGAGTCAGCTGGGCGTCTTGTCACCCCTGCAAACCTGTCACCGAAGGTGGTGGCAGAAGGGGCTGAGGGAGCCTCACTTCCTTTGGAGAAGGATGAAAGGGCCCCTTGGGGACAGAGGCTGGGAAGTGGGGGCCGCCTGGGTCCCAAGTCTTGGTGGGGGTGACCTATCCTGCCGTGGTCTTGGGGGCAGGGGATTGTGGGTGAGGATTTCATACTGGAAGGGAGGTAATGCTTTGCTAAGCACCTGCTGTGTGCCGGGCGCCGTGCTGGCTGCTGTGCCCTGTTTTCTTATCTGTATCATAAAACTGACTCATTTCTTATCCTCAATTTCTCATGTAGAGAAACTGAGGCACATCAGGCTCTTCAGTGAGAAGTGCAGGCAAAGTTTACCGCTTCCGGCCAGGACTTGTAGCCCTGAGCCCTCAGCCTGGCCTGGCACTATGAGCCTGGACCAGCACCCCTCACACCCTGTGGGCCTCAGTTTCCCACCCCGTCCGGGAGGGTGACAGTGACAGTCCTTGGCCGGCCTCTCACCCTCAGTCCCTCTGATCTCCAGCCTCAGAGTCCCTTTATCTTCAGGGCAGTGCCTGTCCCAGGCTGGCATCTGGAGGACAAACAAGGGCACACCCTGGAGAAACAAGACGGGGCGGGGAACTTCAGGGGTCTGGGGTGTTGGCTTCTAAGGCCAGTTCGGCTCCCTCTGGGCCTCCTGGGAATGGAATTGGCAGGGTGTGGGCATGGGCGCCAGGGTGGGGCAGGCGGGGTGAGCCAGGGAGGAGTTCGGGGGTTAAGAGGCTGGGAGTTTCGATGGCTGGTTTTGGTGGTTTTTGATAAGAGCGCCCAAGGGTGGGCAGAGTCCATGGGAGACAGCGGGGTTGGGGGCAGGGCTCTGGGTCTCACCTGGGGGGGCGGCACTTTCTGCCCACTGCCCAGACCAGGCTGCACTCTCGGAACCCCGGCACAGATTAGAGGGGTCAGAGCCGAAGGCCGCAGAAGCTGCCGGGCGGGTGACCCTCCCTTCAGATTCTGCTGTGCAGCCAAGGGCCCAGGCAGTCCCAGTCTGATGGGGGAAGCCGGGATCCAGCCTCTGCCCCAGGACAGCCTTCAGTAGTGAACACGCTAATCCTGGACCAATCCTACGGTCTGCTGGAGTCCCCACCCTTCCTCTGGGGAGCTCCCAGCCTGCAGGGCGAGGTGGCAGCCCCCCCATTAGTGGCCCTGCTGAGTCTGGGCCCTTCCCCCACTGGGCCTGGCCAGGCCTCTCCAGGGTGGGAAGCGGAGCCAGGCCCAAGGTCCCAAGATCCCCTCCCCATGGGATCGGCTGGGGTCAGGCCCGGGTGAGGGACCTCCTCCCCGAGACAGGCCTGAGGTACATGCTCAGGCTGCCGCAGGAGGTGGAGGTACAGGGCAAAACAGTTATTACACACTGCTGCTCTACGCAGGCCAGACAGGGAGGTTCTGCTACACAGCGCCAGCCCTGGTCCTCCCCGCTCGCCACCGCACCCCCAAGCACCGACACGTACATCTGCCACCCGGGGCACACACGGCAGCTGTACGACTTTAAGCCAACTCCTTCACCTCCCCGAGCCTCAGTTTCCCCATCTGCCCATGAAGCGAATGGCAGTCTGCCTGCCGCACCAGGCCTCCCTCCCTGACCCTGTTCCATAGTGCTGGACACAGGCACTGACAGGGACACACACATGACCCTCCAAGCTCGCCTGGTCCTCACCTGCAAGGTGCTCGAGTGTTCCTGCGCCACCACACCGGTATGAAGTAGGGAGGCTGTGGAGAAGACCCCAAAGGGACCCCTCACCCCTCCACCGGCATCATCTGGCAGGGTCCAGGGGCTTGGGATTCTTTGTCTTCTTTCCCAGGGAAGGGACAACTCGACAAGGGGCGAAATGACTGTGTTCAGGCTCCAACTCTGCCCTTGAGCCTCAGAGTCTCATCTGTAAAATGGGACACAGCTGGCTGTGGCGGCGCACGCCTGTACTCCCAGCACTCAGGAGGCTGAGGCAGGAGGATCGCCACAGTTCGAGCTTAAAGCCAGCCTGAACTACATGGTGAGAACTTGTCTCAAAAAAAGACAGAGATAGTCCCCAGGAGTCACAGGGCAGGGGCCTAGGGCTGTAGACCACGTGATGGACGATCGATACCATCAGTGACACGGAAGGCAGGACCTATGCAAGAAAAGAGACAATTCTCGGGTGTGTTTGAGAAGTGTTATATGTTCCAGGCCCTGAGCTGGGCACTGGAGTCTCAGTTTAAAAACAAAGCAGAATCCAACCCAACCCCGTTCCCTCTTGGGCCCAGCACTGGAGATGTGTGAAGAGCCAGGGGCAAGTCCCTGTGAGAAGCCCTGGCAGCTTCAGGGTGCAGGGGAAGGAACGGGGTTACCACTTGCTGGGGGGACCTTAGTCAAGTGCCTCTCCCTCTCTGACTCAGTTTGTCCTTCTGTGGAATAGGCACAGAACAGTCCCCTCCCTGGGCTCTTGGCCACACTGAGGAGGCAGAAAGGGTGGTACGGTGGCTGCCCGGGAGAAAGTCTCCGGCCCCTTCTGGGAAGGCTGTTTCTGATCTCAGAGGCAGGCGAGCAGCTGAGATGGAAGCCTGGATGCGCTTGTCCACTGAGAGATGACCATGTCCAGCCTGAGTATGGCATTTCTAGTGACCACAGACCCGGGGGAGGCAGTGACCCATAGCAGCACCCGTGTGGTGGGAGAGGCACGCTCCCCACCCTTGGGAGCCCCCAGACAGAGGAGGCAGCAGGGCGAGTCCTCCCTGCAGGACCTAAGACTGCAGGATGTCAGAATTGGAAGGTCCCCCACTTTCTTGGTACTGGGGACTGAGCACAGAACATTTGTACTGAACTAATTTTTTAAAATTTTGAGACAGGGTCTTGCTAAGTCATTAGATCGCACAGGCTGGGCTTGAACTTGCGATCCTCTTGCTTCAGCCTCCCAGAGGGCTGGGATTGCAGGAATGTGCCTCCATGCCCGGCTGGAGATGTCTTTTTTCTGTTCTTCTCTTTGTTTTCCTGCACACCCCTGCCCTCCCTTGGAGTTGTCTCTTCAGTCACAGCAGCGTGGCCTGGAGAGACTCACCCCAGAGCCCGAGGGAGACTCACCATGGGTGGGGGTGTGTGACAGAGGTCCTGGGCCAGAGCGGGGTCGGCGGTCCCACCCTGCTGGCCTTGGATTCCTGGTTTGTAATCAGGGACAGAAATACCAGGTCTGAAGCCTGGCATGTGGGGCACGGCTGTAATCCCAGCACGCAGGGGGATCCTGTGAGTTCCGGGCCCAACCCGGCCTGAACTACACAGCCAGGTCTGTCGGCGGCAGGTATCAGCACCAAATGCGACCGCTGTGAGGCGACAGAGGCGGGTTCGGGGAAGGCGAGCTGTGCCGACGCCGAGGGTGATTCATCACCAGGGCCCGGGCCGCAGGCCTTCTGGAGGCGGTGGCTCTCAGGCCTGGCGGGAG